CGCGTGGCTGCGGGCGGAGCGCCTGAGCCTTCGTGTTGGAGAAGGGCAAACGCAGCCGCCCCTGGGCCGGAATGGACGATGAGGCACCGAGGACGTGCTGGGCAGATGGCGGCCTCTGGCACGCGCCGGTTGGTCGGCTGGTTTTCTTCTAGAAGGCATTTTTTTTCCTTATGATATAAGAGTTTGTTTTTACATCATTTTGTACTTTTTTTTTCATCTCAATTGTAATCCCCACGGACGTGGCGGTTGTTTAAGAAATAGGAAACGACGCTGCGAATCGCTTGGTGCGTCGTTGGGTCAGGGCGGTGCCCGCGTAACCAGAGGCGGCCGGGGCGGGTGTGGGGGAGCGGGGCGGAGGCCCGGGCTGTTGCGGAAGGGAGCGGGCTCCGAAGTCCCGGCTTGCTGAGTGTTGCGGTCCTCTTGTCACGACCCCGCCAGCCCCACAGCACCTTCCTCTCCCCACCGACCAGTCCCTCAGAGTCTCTAAAGGCCTCCAGAGCCTTGAAAAGCTGACCAAACATGACTCAGACTTGCAGCCCCTTTCCTGGTGGAACTGATACCAGTTCAGGCCTTCGTCATCCTTGGCCTCCACCCGTCCGCTTTGTCCAGTGCCCACACTGAAGTCACAGTACTATTTTGAAGTCAGAAAGTTGGTCACAAGAAGCCCTTTTGGGTATGAAAGGGAACGCCGATCACGCTTTTTCTGAAATATGCCTACAGCACACTGCCAGTCATAGGCCTTATGGGACAAAACAGCTTTTCAAAGATCTACAGTCGATTTGCAGAGATACACGAGAATATTGGCAGCAGCGATAAGCCGCACCCGTTGCAGTGACTGAAGTGATTACCAGATACCAAGAAGCAAAGCAGACACAAGTTTAGTACTATTTGAACTGGTGTCGGGAGGAGGCTTGCAAGAAGTGCTAACAGCAGCAGGTGAAGGAAGCTCCGCTTGCTCAGCCAGCCAGTGTTCTCTTTCCGGTCACATACGCATCCTTTGCCTTGAGCACCTCGTCTACTCTGGTAAAGTCCACTATCGACTCTTGGCCTCTCGAAATCTAGACCCCCGATTTCTCTCCTGAATTCCAGACACCCACACCTAATTGGACACCGCTGCCTGGATGGCCTCCCACCTCAAGCTTAGCGTGACTTTAGCTACCTTTGTCCATTTCTCCTGATGCCCTGGCTGCTGCGCCGCAGCCCGGAGTGGGCCAGTTTCCCAGGCCAGACAGCTGGAGCTCTGGCTTCTTTGTCTCCCTTATCTCGTAAATCTGATTTCTATCCAGTCCCTGTCACATTATGTCCCCCTGGACTATTGGCCTGGGCGTCTAGTTGGCCTCCCGTTCTCACAAGTGCTGCTGAGGGAACATTTAAAGTCAGCGGGCTATATCACGTATTTGTGAATTTTTTTTTAAGATGTACATTTATGCACAAGAACTGGGGTACAGGTCAGAGGTGCGGGGGGGGGCGTGAGAGGATTCCCCAGGCAGAGTGGGGAGCAGAACAGGCGGATCTACTGAAATACACTGCTGAGGGGAGCAGCCGGGAGACAGGAGAGAGCTGTGTCCCGCGTGGGTCCCTCCCTGGCAGTGACTACAGGCACCTTCATAGTGCCTGCGCCACCGGGGGGGCCCCAGCTGGTGAACCCCTAAGAAGGAAGGTTAAGTCCTTTCTTGTCTGTGCTCTCTAGTATTTCCAGTTTACTGTTTTTGAATGAATGAACGGACCCGCGGAGAGTTGGAGGCTCACGTCGGTGACGTGCAGTGGCTGACGGCGCCCAGCAGGGGTCAGCCTCGCACATGCGTTTTAGGCCGGAAGAGCTTTTTTCCTTCCAAGCGTGGGAGCCAGGGTGGAGGGCTACTTCCTCGGGAAAGTCCTGCTCTGCTAGTTCGTTGCTTTTCGGTAGAAATGAAAGTTCCAGGGTGGTGTTTCTGTAGGATTTCTCCTTTGGCTCCAGGCTAGTCTCAAGGGCTGAAACAGTCCTCATGTTCCTCATATTATCACTTAGGAATAACCTGTCATCTCTTGTGTTGTTTCACTTCTACAGACTTCCATCCAGTAAGTTCACCATAACTCAGAGATGATAGACCTGCCTTATTGCTAACAAGTAATTCTTTACCTTTGTTTTTAAAAATATTAAAAACAATATTTATGCACACAGAACTGGAGTACAGGTGGGAGGAGCAGGGGCGAGAGGCTTCACCAGAGACAGAGCGGGGAGCAGGACAGGAAGGTGTACTGAAGTCCACAGCTGAGGGGAGCAGCGGGGGACAGGAGTGGTCTGCAGCACCCCTGGGTCACTCCCCGGCCGGGGATCAAACTCGTGCTGCAGTGGCTGCGGATGGCTGCATAGTGCCATGCTTTCACCATTGCGCCACCAGGGAGGCCCTAATTCTTTACCTTTACATGCATAGTATGAAGTGATAGAAATTTACTTTATACACAAAAGGGAAAAAAAAAGACTGGGCGTGGGGAACAGCTTGAGCTGAAGCAGAAGTGAAGTGTGTGAGGAGCATGGGGAAGCACAGCTTGCCAGTCTGCTGCGGGAAACGGGGAGTGCAGTTCGAGAGGTTGAGGCTGGCTGAGACGAGCTGTGTGTGTCGTAACGCGTGCGGCCTCGGGGGTTGAAGTGAGCACAGGAAAATGACAAATTACAGGTACGATGATGATAAAGCTGGCAGCGACACGGACAGTGAGTGGAAGGGGCTGCGGCTCGGAGCACAGTCGGCAGGCGCCCGCCGGGGCTGCAGGGCGACACGGTGTGGGCTCAGCCCCCTGCTCTGATGAGCGTGGTGACTCGACGGAGTTGGGTGCGGGAAGGAGTCACGGCTGGTCCACAGGTTCCGACTCAGTAAGATGCGACGGGTACGGAAGAAGCACGCGTGGCTGGGTGGAGATCCCATGTTCAGTTTTGGACAGACTGAGTTTGAGGTGAAAATGCCTGTGGTCATAAATTGCAAGGCAGAGTGGACACAGACGAAGCCAGCCGCGGCGGTGGGTCTGAAGGTGCGTGCTAGGGACACCCGTACCTGAGTAGGTGCTGAGGGCAGACCCTGGGTCTGGGGCTTGGGCTGTGTCCGACTCCCTAGCAAAGGAAGGGGAGAAAGCCAAGAGCAGCGCGTGCCAGGTGGGCCAGCCTGCTCCTCGGACTGCTGCACTGGGAAAGTTCTGGGGCCCTGGCCTGAGCCCGCCGGAGCCTCCACTGGCCCCGTCTCCCCTACAGGGGGAGGAGTGATGACTCAGAGCTTGCTGATTATTCTGGGCTTTGCCAGGAGGCTGCAGTCAGCAAAGCATAACCACAGAAGAGGAAAGAGGAGCCCGCAGTCTAGCCAGAGTGGCTGCTGGGCTGGCTCGTGCTGACCTCGGGCCTTTGTGCTACAGCAACTGTCCTCACACTAGAGCTGGGCTACACACTGACCTGCCCTGGCGTACAGGACAAGGGTGGACGTGCCCATGGCAGAAGCAGAGCTGTGCTTCTGCACCGTACCTCAGTCAACCACATTGTGGAGAGGGCGTCGCGTGCAACACTCGATAACCAGCAGTTACGTGTATATCTGATTGGTTCGCAGATCAGCCCGTGTATACTCTGACTCAGGCAGCTAACGGAATGTGTATATTGCTCGGGCCCATCTCATTGTATCCTCAGACAAAGAGATCAGCAAGATAGATATTTCCACGCATTTTGATCTTAGCCAAAAGCCAAGAAGTGGTAAGATAAATGTTTTCATGAAACTCAAACCTAGGTTTTTCTCTAGTTCTTGATGGTTTGGTCTGGCTGGAAGTAGCATCAGAAAGATGGTGACTTGGTCCTGGACAGCTTCATGGTATCCAATATGGCGAAATAAAGCTGAGCAAACAGCTCTGCCTGAAGATTGCCTGAGCTGTAGACTCTCTTGCTCCCAATTTCAGTCATGCACCTTGGGGCCACACAGTGCCCAGGCCACAGGTAGGGTGCTGGTACCGCCGGCCGCGTCACCCAGCCTAGGTGTGTAGCGGACAATGCCCCCTAGGCGTGTGTGCTCACACTCTTTGACGTTCTCAGGACAGTGACGTTGCCTGACAACACATTTCTCAGAGCCCATCAACGCACGACCTCTGATCTTGGGTGTCCTCTGCTCTGTGGTCAGCAATTCCTCATGCAGGTAATAGGGCGGTGGGCTGCCTGCCTTTGCTAGAACTCTCTTCCTGTCCATCCCCAGCCCCAAGCTGGACATTAGAAGGAGGAGGGCCTGAAGTGCCTGCCTCCTCTCTCCCCACCACAACACGGGGGACCAGCGCTGGGCACCATCTTCAGCCCTCGCCTTCAAGCTTTTGTCCGCTGACTCTGCATAGAGGAAAGACTGTGGCCTGTTGATTTAGCGCCGTAAGCAGATGGCGCCACTCGAGGGCATTCATTCTGCCCTTGCCACCACCACAGGCTCTCGCCAGCCTGAGCACAACCTCTTTCCCCAAGCATTCCTTCCCGTCTCATCCTTTTCTCTCTGGGACCCGCTCTTCCCCAGACACCCCGGGCCCAACATTCCCTAGGGACCCAGGCTGAGGACCCAGTGTCTTGGTTATGACCATACTAGGAAGCATTAGACCCTTCTGTGGCTGCAAAGCCTTGACTCAGTTTCCTTCCTTTCGGTACACCCTGTCAGGCCCTTGTGAGTTAGGAAAGACAAGTGCAAACTGATTCTGAGGTTTGGTTGCTCATCCCCACCCTCCACCCCTCACTCCCAGCCTATCCATGGACGATAGCTTCTTCCTGTCTGTCCGGTCTCTGCAGACAGGCTGAGGGCTTGGGAAGGGAGGTGCTGGCGTGGTTGGAGGTAGGGAACAGGGGTTTGGAAAAGCCAGATGCAGCACAACCGTTCTGTCCAGAGCTGCAGGTCCACAGATTCCAGGCCAAGCCAGCCAATGCGGAAAAGCCCTCTAATCTCAGAGAACAAAAGAATTCTGTTGTCCAGCTTCCCTGCCGGACCCCACTCCTAAGGCCCTCCCCCATCGCCCCCTGGCTGATTCATAGAAATTTGGAGGCCCCCATGAGCCCAGTCTCGTATTCCATGAAGTGAATTCAGCGTGACTGGCCTTGCAAGCAGAGTTGAGGAATGTCCTCTGTGTCAGTTAGGTCTATGAGCGCCAACTTTGTCACAAAGAGAAAGACAGGCTCTCCCAGCCCCTCTTTCTCGGGCTTCTCGGCCCTGACTATGCGCGCTCGCACCTTGGCTGCGCCACCTCCCAGCAGCTCTGATCCGGGTCCAGTCCTCCAAAGCTGGGGAAGGGCAGGGGTGGGGCCAGCGCCTCCCAGGGATTAGGAGTCCTCCATAAAGGGGACTGGCCACCCACAGCAGCCAGCCGGTGCTAGGACCTGGCCCTGTGCCCGTCCCCCTGCCATGTGGGAACTGCGCCAGGCCCCTTTCTGCAGGGCTGTTTTTGCTGAGTTCTTTGCCACCCTCTTCTGTTCCTATTTGGGCCCGGAGCCTCACTGCGCTGGGGCCCGGGCCCCCTGCCAGTCCTCCAGGTAGCTCTGGCCTTTGGTCTGGCCTTGGCCATGCTGGTGTAAGCAGTGGGCCACATCAGCGGGGTCCACATCAATCCTGCGGTCACCCTGGCCTTCCTGGTGGGTGCCCAGATGTCCCTGTTCCGTGCCCTCTGCTACGTGGCAGCCCAGATGCTGGGCGCCGTGGCTGGGGCTGCTGTGCCGTGTGGTGTCACCCCCCCGCCGTCCGAGGAAACCTAGCCCTGAATACGGTCATGGTCAGCGTGCTGCCTTGGGGCAGCGGGGGTCCTGTCTGCACTTGGGCGGGGGTGTGGGGGTGCACCTGTGTGTGCTGCAGGGTGGAGAGGATCACCAAGTGGTTGGAGGGGTAAGGAGGGAGACAGAGCCCTGGGTTGAGACTAAAGAAACCTGTCTTGGGGTTCCAATTTTCCTGCTTGTTCATTTTAAAATTTATTTTAAAGCTGTATTTATTCACGCAAACAGAACTGGGATGCAGGCCACTGGTGCAGGAGCAGTGAGAGACTTCACTAGAGACAGAGCGGGGAGCAGGACAGGCAGATCAAGGAAGTACACTGCTGAGGGGAGCAGCGGGGAGACGGGAGAGGTCTGCTGCGCCCTGTGGGTCACTCCCTGGCCTGGATCAGGAATGAGCAAAGCTGCCGTGGCTGTGGACAGCTTCACAGTGCTGCGCTTTAACCCACTGTGCCACCAGGGAGGGCCCTGATGCAGATTCTTGAGGAAACTTATTTTATCTTAAGGGGTCTCATCCAGATGAATAGGAACAATTATTTTTGCCACAGAGGCGTGTAATTAGGAAAACTTAAGATGCAATTACTTTGAAAAGGGTTGAATTATCCTTCCTCTCCCGGGAGCTGACACCACAGGGGCTTCCACCTGGAGCCTTGAGGTGATGCAGGGAGCCCTAATAACCACCTCCCTTCTACTCTCCCTAGCTGCACCCTGGGGTGAGCGCAGCCAGGCCACCGCAGTGGAGATCTTCCTGACGCTCCAGCTCGCGCTGTGCATCTTTGCCACGTATGATGAGAGGCGGAATGGCCGCCTGGGCTCTGTGGCCCTGGCCATTGGCCTCTCCCTCACCCTGGGCCACCTCTTTGGGGTAAGCAGGAGCAGGGGGGCTTTGTCCCCTGAACCGTTGTGATGCTTCACTCTATTGTGGGGCCCCAGGCAGGTTTTCCCTGCTTGCTGCTAGCTGAGGCATGTGCCAGCCAGGAGGGTGATGTGAACTGTGGGCAGAGAAGTCGGGGTGGCTTGGGGGGCTCCGTCTCAGTTCCAGCTGTGTCTTTTGCAGATGTACTATACTGGTGCAGGCATGAACCCTGCTCGCTCCTTTGCTCCTGCTGTTGTTACCTGAAACTTCACCAACCACTGGGTGAGTGAGGGCGAGCTTTCAAACCCTGACACCTCCCTGGGTGGGTTGTGACAGGCGCCTGCAAGCTCCAGGTTTGGCTTCTGCATCTCCCTAGATGCGTAGCTGCTCTGTTAGCCTCAGCTAAGGGAACAGCCAGAGTTTGGCTTGCCTGTGTGAGCACAGTTCATTATGTTGCTAGAAACAGAGGCTCGTGCCCACATTGTGCTGGTTAATCGCTAAGGATCCACTGGACTCCACTTCTGGGTGCTATGAGCACAGCCAGCAGAACAGGAAGCCAGAGAGGTCTGTGCTCAGACATGCGGACATGTCTGAGCACGAATAGGCCTCAGCCACGTTCCGATTCTAGCACCTGACCAGCTTTGTATGTGACATGGCAGATACCTCAGATTCACTAACTGTAAGACGGGGTGTTATGAAATAAATGGGGAGGTTATAGACGTGAAATAGCTAGCACAGACCTGGTATGGAATAAGGCTCGATAAAAATTGGTTATACACCCACGGGGATGACAACTGGGATGGGAAAAGGCACAAAATGATGTAAAAACAAGCTATTATTTAGAAAATTGATGATAGAAAACAAAATTGGTTATATAAGCCAAACAAATAGAATTCTAAACCCTTGAAAGCCTCCAGCCATCTTCACCACGCCATTATTCCAGTGGCCGGAGCTGGACGCTGCCTTAGTGCCTCTCGCAGGTGAGCTGTCATCGCTGCCGTCTGCTTCAGTGAAATCTTCAACTTTAACAGAGCAGGAAACCCTGACACCTGCTGCCACATGAGTGAAACTCGGAGGCATTTTGTTAAGTGCAATTAGCTCATCACATCACAGAAGGACGAATACTATAAGCTTGCATTTGTAGAAGACAGCAGGATTAAATTCATTGAGAAAATGCAAAATGTAGTTGACAGCAGCTGTGAAGAGGGAGGGGGAGTTGTTTAACTGGGATGGAATTTTAGTTTTGGAGGATGAAAAAGCTCTGGAGATTGGCTGTACGGCAACGGGAACAGCCTCAACACTATTTAAACACTATTGAACTGTATACCTTGAAATGGTTTAGAGAGTCAATTTTATGTTGTGTGTGTTTTACCAATTAAAAAGATTTTCGAGCCGTATATAACTGGTACAAGCCGATAACAAAAGACAGCATGTACATGAGCGAGGAAGGTTTGGGATAAAGGGATCCCATTTGATGAGTCAGAAAGGAAAGAGTTTTGAGGGGCAGATAGCGAAGCAGAGGCGAGAGTGCTGAAGCAACAAACCCACACTGATCTTTGCTGTGTGTGCCCTACGGTGGGCGCCACAGAATGGCTCTGGCAGCCAGCGCTCACACTGGCGTGGCCCCTGGGGGCCTGATCAGCCTTTGCTCCTCCCACAGGTGTTCTGGGTGGGCCCAGCCATTGGAGGAAGCCTGCGTGGTCTCCTTTACGACTTCGTGCTCTTTCCCCGGCTCAAGGGCGTTTCAGAAAGACTGTTCTTAAGGGTGTCAGCCCCTTGGAAGCCAGGGAGGCCAGCGGACAGCCCGAGGACACAGAGGACGCTGCTGAGCTGAAGACCCTGTGAAAGCTCCAGAGGGAGGAGAGAGGGTGTAGGAAGTCTCTGGGTTTACGTAGAGAGGCTGAGCCAGTGCTGGTGAAGAAAGATGCTGTGGGAGGGAGGGACACGGACACGTGCTGCTTTTTAAATTTTGTATGGATTTTTTTTTCCTTTTGTGGTGTGAAATCCTTCAAGTTGCATTTATGAGCTGTTTGGTGCAAACACCCCTTCCTTTCCATTCTTCCTTTCCCACCAGTGTGTTTGTGAGTGTTCGTCGTGCGTATGAAAGTGAGCGACTGTGGTTGTGCTTGAATTTCCAGGCACAGGGAGAAGTGGGGAAGGGGAAGAGGTGTCACACTGCTTCCTCTCAGGCCTGCAAGGTGAGCTGGGAGTAAGTCTGCACATTTCTGGCCTCTACCCTGCTGCCAGTCAGAGAGTCTGGCTCTAGTTTTCTGAGGGAGCCAGGAGGCAGGAGTTACTCTTCACAGGGGCCAGTGCAGGAGCCGAGGCATTTCAAGGGCTGCTGGAGGGGGCAGGAGTGGGAGAGAAGTTATGGGGGGGTTAGCCTCTGAGTAGCATGAAATTTTACCAAAAAATTTGGGGAAGCTAATGGTAGCTTGCTGACTTCAGGATCTTGCTCAGGCTCCAGTGGGCAGTGGTTCTGAGAATATGGAAAGCTCTGGGTTAAGCTGTTTTGTAAAACCACACAAACCTGGGGCCTCCCTGGTGGCGCAAGTGTTAAAGCACAGCGCAGCACTATGAAGCTGTCCACAGCCACTGCAGCACGGGATAGATCCTGATCCCAGCCAGGAGGGTGATCCCCAGGGGCCAGCAGACCTCTCCGGGCTCCCCACTGCCCCCCCCCCCCACAGACCTCTCCGGGCTCCCCACTGCCCCCCTCAGCAGTGTACTTCATCAGTCTGCCTGTTCTACTCCCCACTCTGTGAATCCTCTTGCCCCCGCACCTCTGGCCTGTAC